TGAGGGATTATGGGGGAACACAAGGGGTTAAGGGGGTTTTGGGGGGTTATGAGGGAATGTGAGGTATTACGTGGGATTTGGGGGATTGTGAGGGATTATGGGGGAACACAAGGGATTATGGGGGAATATGAAGGATTATGAGGGATTACGGGGGGATTTAAGGGGGATTCCTCGCCCCCGGTGTCTCTGGGAGCTTTGCTGAGGCCGCGTTTCCCCGCAGGCGCTCCCCGAGGTGAGCCAGGAGCTGCTGGCGGAGCGGCAGCGGCACAACGTGCTGGTGCTGGAGGCCCTGCGGGAAGCGGCCAGCACCGAGGAGAACGTGGCCAGGCGTCCCGTGCCGTGGCGGAAGTGAGGGGGTGTGACTTCCGGTAAGACGCTTTCCGGATTGGTTGGCTCACTTCCGATGAGAAGCTTCAGTTTAGGTGCGCTTCCGCTGAAATTTTACTCACTTCCGGTCATCTGAGGGGCGCTTCCGGCGAATCCTTTACCCAATCTCAGTCGTTCGCTGCCACTTCCGGTTTTATACACACCCCATCCCCTCCCTCACCCCCTCGTTTCCTGTAGGCCTCTTGCTAGTTCCGGTTCTGCTTTGGGTCCTTATGGCTTCCTGTCGGGCTGCTGGCACTTCCGGCGGAGTTTCACGTCGTTTCCCGCGGGTTATTCGGTCACTTTTGTTGGGTTGTATTCTCATCTCCGACCTGTCCCTGTAACATCCGGTTGTGTCTATGCGACTTCCGGTAGGCGGTAGTTCTTACCGTCACATCCGGCTCATTTTTTCGGTCACTTTCGGTGTTTGGTTGTTGATTCCGGCCTTTTCTGTTCTCTACAGGGAGCCTAGCGTCACTTCCGTCCGCTTTCGGGTCACTTCCGGTGGCTGTGTGGCGAGCCCCGTCTACTTCCGGTTTGCCTCCAGCCACCTGCTGGGGGTCCCTTGGCTTCCGGCGGATATGCCCTCAACTTCCGGCGCGATGGCGTCTGACCAGCGGACTTTGCTGTCTCGGTGCTGGAGCTGCCGGTTCCTTGGGGGGTTCGCACTGCTCGCAGCCGCCGCTTGGATTTACCGGCGTCCTCGGGCGCTCATACGGAGCGGGGTGACCCCGGGAATGGGAGACGTGGCGCAGATCACCTTCGCCATCTGTGAGAGGCGGGAAAATGGCGGGGGGTTGGGGGGGGGG